TCTCTTTCATCTTTGTGATAATCTTCACCTTCCAAAATCCCTTAGAATCCTACTAGTATTGGATCTATTTATGTGTACTTAATAAAGTGGAATATATTGACTGTGGTGCTATGTTCACTGGAACGTTCTTAATGCTTCATGTAGAACAAAAAGGATAATGAGCCATTGATGTATTGGCCAAGAAGCCAATTAGACACGATGTAGGAGTTCATTGTTTGTTCTGGTGACCTGTGGAGTTGAACTAAATGATAAACTAGGTTGGAACTGTATCTTTCTTGTCCAGGAACACTACAAAAATCCTTCCGTAACTAATATCATAAACTGTTAAAACCAAATTATTTAATTTATTCAGGATGGTAAACTAATAGGCTGATACTTTCTGCTATATGGCTTCTTCATGTGAACTAAATATGAATATAGATTTTCACAGCCATCAAAATGTACATTAGGCTTAGAGTAGTGCTAAGAGACAGCACGTTGCACTATGCCCTTTATACACATGGACAGTTTTAGAAAACCTCTCTCAGCTCTTTTTGCATAAAGACAATAGTGGTAATTGCTTGAGACTGAAGCATTTTTAGCTTGTTTCTGCCATAGCTTTTAGATGGTTGCTTTTTTCAGCTTGGTAAATAAAGAACTTGTGATGATTAGGTCAGTCCAAGGGATAAAGTTATCCTGGCATAATTAGCATCTTAAAATGTGCCTTCCAGCCCAACTGACGTGGGTTTTTCTTTATCTTGAGATGACACGTCTGCTCTCACAAGCTTCCAGACAGTGCAATGGTAGCAGTGTTCGCGGGGGAACACAAAAAGAATTTGGCCATGCAGTCTAGAACCAGGATCTTGTGTTATACACAGGGAAAAAAAAAATCTATGGAAAATTGGAGAAGTATCCCAGTCCTTTCAGCATAGATCTTTCACTTCATGAAAGATTCCAAACATACAGTTACAAATGTATGAATTGACTGAATTCTCTGATACTTCATCATTTTTTTCAGTCAGTATAGGGAGTAGGTAAGAAGACAAAGGGACTTTTAACGCTTTGGCTGCATCTGGAGATGTGCTCCTATCCATTAACATAATTAATTTATTGGATTCCCCAAGCTTCTGATATATTTATAGCCAAACTCTGTAAGGGGAGTGTCAACACTGAATCGGGCATGATAAGGTCCCCCAGGCATGTTTGCTCTCAGGCTTTCCTTCTAACTTTTGAGCTCCACTGTGGTGCTGTTGTATGAGGTTTACTTTTAACAGGTAATCTGGAGGGATTCTGGAGGTTATTTCCATTTTGTATTCCTTTTGTACAAGTAGAGGCAAAAGGATATCCATAAGGTATCGTAAGAGTACAGGTCACAAGCCTGAAAGCATGGGGAAAATGTAGGGAAGCATGTTTGAAAGACTATTATTGGTATCTGTTTAGTTAATTAGATATTAACTTAGAGAAATTTACATATGTTGGAATGTAAAAAAAAAATATTAAAGAAAAAAAAAAAAAGTGATTTTTCAAAAGTTCACCGTAGAAAATCTGGGTTTGTATAGAAAGTTGATTTACATAGAAAAACTCGAAGTTCTGTGAAGCAAAGAGTTGGTTGAAAATGGGTGGGAAGTTGTGTCTGAATGTTGCTGCATTCTTGACATATACAGAGGTTGTTTTAGATTTGCAGAGAAGAGAAATGGGCTGAGGCAGCTGCAGGAGGAGGAACACATTTCTGGTGATTAAGACATCATCTTGGTGATACCTTCTGATCCTTTGCTGAAGGTTGATGATTATAATAGTGCCAGTAGGAATAGGACATACTTCAGATAGCTTGTTAAAAACAAACAATACCCAGCATGACAAAACCAGAAACGACTTCCTCCTGACAAGCTTTGAATTACCATGAGATTTTATGGTTTTTAATGTGAACGAAATAATTCAAACAAGTTAGGTGAAGAATTAAAAAGAGATTGCTTTGAAAAAAAAACAAACCAAACCAAACCAAACCAAAGAACCAAACACCACAAAACCAGAAATCTTAAAGTTTCTATTAAAGCTTGCGTAGTCATGGATTTTCATGAAGAATGAATGCAGAATACATGTGTCTATTATTGAGAGGGGGACAGCAGAAACATTATGTCCATGCTAAAGAATGAGATGGAATTTGAACTCACATTTCTAGGACAGCTACATACCATGAACCATGGTGGACATGAAGCAGTAGTTCAAGCACATACCAAACAGCATAAACACCTGGAGTACAAAATGTCTACCCCAGACTGCTTTAGTGTCTTTGACAGAAGCTGAGATTGCATTTTGGGGTGAGGGAGCAGGGGGTATAAAGACATAGAACTAAACTACAAGCAACGAGAGTTTATTCTTAGAGGGCATCGTAGACAAGAGGAAAATACCCTTGGGAGTACCACTGGAGTCAGTAACTCTCTTGCATACCTTTTGCTCGTCATGGTATGAACTGGGAAGTTTTAATCAAGCATGCCAGTGTCAATGACATATCAGGACACACTAATGCAAGAAGTGGAAGAGTGGTTTGGAGTCATGGGCATAATCCAAATGTTCCAGTGATTTTGAAAACTGATTTTGAAAATTGTTAACCCACACAGAGTCATAGTGCAAAGGTACCACGTGGAACAGGAGGGACTTGTACAAGTGGTGTACACAATAGGCATGTTTGTTAATATAATTTACTTGTTGCAAGAGTTTACTCCAGTTAATGACTGCTCTGAGGATCTACGCTTGTGAGCTGAAAGCAGAGCTCAAGAAGGATGAGAGAGGAAATGAAGTCTCCCCTGTTCCACTTGTGTGACTCCCCCATACCCTGGTAACTGAGGAGACAAACACTCTTCTGCTGAATGTTTCTGCTGCAGGAGGCAAGTTATGAGTTTTCAATTACAAAATATTTATTTGTGTTGTAGTCTGTTCATCATCACCTTTCTAAGTCTGCAGAACTGATTCAGGCTAAAGGTATGATGGAACGGGGACTCTGCTTTTGAAATAAAACTCACCTAAAAAAATGAACTGATGGTTTTCTCCTTGTTTCTCCTGAGAAGCATTCAGAGATAGTGGCAAGGAGCATGAGACTGGGACAAGTTGCAGCAAGTGGTCAGACATTTTTTCCAACCAGGTGATACTGAGGAATATGAATGTTTATGGGATAGTGGGACCCAACAATGCAACAGGGTGCTGAGAGCAGAAATTGGAAATACGACAGTCATGTCATTAAAGGATTAGAGAAGGGCAGGTTATCTTACCACTTTTTATTTGTATTTTTTACTCCTCATATACATTTTTTTGACATTTCTTCTGTTCTCTCTTTTGTGGAAGCTGGAAAAGCTGTTCTGCTAGCTGCTGAATGGTAGTGCTCCATCAATCTGCTCTATAAGCTCTAAAAACTCATGGATCAATGTGATATGGCTATGGGATCAAAGGCAGAGTTTCTGAACTCATCTACACGAACATGAGCTGTAATGCACAAGGGAGATTCTGAAGTCCCAATGATTCGTGAGGCAGAGCTCATGAGTCAGTAGAAGTTTCCTTTTCTGATATAATACGCAAGTCCTGAAACAACTTTTTTTTTTTTTTTTTTTTTTTTTTTTTTTTT